AACCCCTAAACCCAAAACCCCTAATTAGACCCGAAATCGTAAGAGTCCAGGCTATGGACTCCAGTGGCATGCGGACACTGCACTTCACATTGCGGCACAGGCGCCATGTCACGCATAGTGGAGATAACTGTTGAGCTTTTGGGGGCTCCGGGTTTAGGGTGCTTTTGGTGGAAAAGGGTTTAGCGTCTGTTGGCAAAAAGGGGGGGGGGGGCGAAGTTCAGTATCTAGGGTTCAGGGTATCCAGCAGCGCATAGTATAGTAAGGTATAGCCTATAACAGTGTATAGTATGGTAAGGTATAGTATATATATTTATGTGGTAGTATACACTTAGTACACTTAGTATAGAATGGTTCTGCGACCACTGGCAACTAGCGTGGCTTCACTAGAATGTAAAGTGAATCAGTAACTCGACGAAAGCACCAAACGACCCTAAACCCGCAGCCCGAACCCTAAGCCCTATACCCNNGTAGTTTCCATTTTCTTTTCCGTATCCCCATATAACCCCAAGATAGCCCTAATATAACCCGAATTTAGCCCTGAGCCCTAGTTGCTGCTTCTAGAGATGCGTGTGTAAACGGATTGTTTGCAAGGTTGAAGAAATCAGAACAGTTACGATCCTTTAAGGTGGACTCGAACAGTTACGATCCTTTAATGTGGACTCCCTATTATTATTTTTGTTATTATTATCTGCCTGCTCTGAACCCTCAACCCTAAACTAGGGTTGAGTATTCAAACCTTACACTTCCCCATAAATCCCTGATATCCCACAGCTCAACCCCCCTCTTCAAAGAATCCGCATATATTAGGTTGCCAGAATTCCACTATAAATATAGCACTATAAATATAGCGGTCCCTAATAGCTAGGGTGCCCAAAAAGGCCCAAAAAGGGACCATGGACGATCCAATGAAGTACCAAGAATCATACCCTGGGGATCCAAGTATGCAAGCAATGATTACATTGGGCCCAAGTGTCTGCAAATGTTACCTACTTTGGGTTATTTGGACCCTAGGGATAAGCAACCAATTATACCAAACCCAGACAAGGAATTACATTGCCCAAGGTACCGAAACACGGGGCCTCTTCGTGTACTGAGGAACCTAACACATCCCCCAAAGGGTTTGGGGTTTACCGGCTTTTGGTTAGCTGGGAATGAAGGAATGGAAAACAAAATAGAAACTACTAATAATGGGTTATAGGGGGACTACTATAAGGATCCATTCCTTCTTTCCTTTAAAGAATGGAACCTTATAGTAGTCCCCCTGTAACTCATTATTTTCTTTTCCATTCCTTCATTCCCAGCTGGCCGAAGGCCAGTTTAGGGTCCCGAAATCCATCCTATGAAGCTTCTCTTACTGATTCCTACGTGAGCTGTAGTCTAAACTCCTTACAGGGAGGTTATATAGGGGCTTATATAGGGGACTACTATAGGAAGGACGGTTTTTTGGGGGGATTTATAAGGGACTACTGTAGGGGTTGTAAGGGGGATACTAGGAGTTTAGACAATAGCTCAGGTGAAGTGGAGCCACACGGACATGAAAGAGTTTCGGGCGTTGGGTGCTTGCGGTGCAAGGCTGTATAAACCCAGCGTCCATGTCATTTTCCATGTTCTTGTCCATTTGATTTTCCATTCTTGGGGTAAGATCCCAACTTAGGCTTGTATTATACCATGCACTCTTCGCAGCACAGCCCTGGGGGTTTCCTTCACGAACTCATCATGCTGTCAGGCATCCCTCTGGTGGGTTGCTTTGAGCGACACAGCTATCACCCTATTCCCGGCTATTAGTAGGGAAGAATAGCGGAACTTCCGTAATCCCTATATGATATACTTGTTCCCTACTACAACCGCAATATATATCTTGATATAAGGTAGTAGTTTCCATTTTCTTGTCGATTATCCCTACATCATTCCCATATAATATATACCCTTGTTCCCTAACTGTCAGTAAGCATTGAGTAGCTCACAGCCCCTCCCATCTAGACTCCTCAGCCCTCACAGTCTAAATTCAACCCAAGGCCTTAAAGCTCCACCCGAGACACTGAGCGTTGAGGGTTTAAGTTTCGGAGGTTTCATTCACAGCCTGAACCGAAAAATAGTTGTCACAGGTTGTGAAGGCAGCATCTAAGAACTTTAGCGGGGTCGTTCTCCTAAGCCCAAAAACCTGTTGTTGATGAGCATCCCTATAACAGCCGCCAATCTTAATTCGACAGCTATAATGACTGGGGGAAGAATTGTTGCCACAACGAACCCCTATAGAAGGGCAGTCTCCACTTCAGCCTCTTGTCCATTTGATGAGCCCTTTTGTATAGTGGTTTTGTTCTTCTTGTTCTTCTTCCAATCCCTATAACATAGTTCTGGGTACTTCTGTGAAGCAGGCTGGCTGGGCATTGTACCATCTGGCGAAGCTTGATGGCTACTTGCTTCGGAGGTTTGGTCTGTGGGGAAGCCCAGGCCAACTATCTTTGTTTAGGGCTTAGGTTTAGGGTTTAGGGCTTAGGGGTTTAGGGGTTTAGGGGTTTCGGGGCTTAGGGTTTAGGAGGCATTCCCCCCTATACTACCCCAGCTTGGGTGGCGTGTGGGAATCTATGTGGTTCTTCCTGGTCGGAGAGACGTGCTTTCACGTGAAGCAGGTACCGTGCTCTTGTATTCCGATTTTTGTGTAGCAGACCATGAGGAGTGGTCAGAGTGGTCATTTTCAAGCTACCGAGAATCGAAACTCCTCACCAGGTGTATATGTATGTATATGTGTATGTATATATACGTGGCTACATGCTATCATATAATTCTAGCTGTCTAGGCTTACATGAAGCCTCCTCCTCCTCCTCGCAGGCATAGTCAGATCTAGCATTGGCCCCTGGTGTCTTACAATGACGTGAAAAGGTTGGTTTCTGGGGATATATACATGCACATATATATATATATGTATATATATATATATTCGGGGACAGGATTCTGGAAGACACCCTATGCAGCTAGCTGTATACAGCCTTGAGCCATGTCCATGTAAAATCCTAATCCCATGGAAGGCCTTCATGAAAAACATGTTCAACACCCCCAAAACAAAGGAAAGAAAGACCAGGAAGACTTGTTGATCCTTCCTCGGACCCTGAAGGCAGCAGAAAGCGATGAAGGCCATATGAGCCGTAGTCTTAACTCCTGGGGATACCCAAAGTTCAGACTATAGCTCATAAACCAACCCTAAACCCTGCACCCTATGTGAACAACAAACAGGACGGCTGAGGAGTTTTCACTGTTCTATTAAGGGTACCAAGCTTTGGCGAGGTCTCCGCACAGTCCCCGTGATGGCGAGGCCGCAGCTCCTTCTGAATCTGCTTTACCCTAAGGATCCAAACAGCCCAATGTAGGCAAGATTTGTGGACATTAGGGCCCAATGTAGGTTTTACTTGTATACTTGGATGTCCCTAGATTTTAGAAAGCACGCTGATTTGAGGAGCCTAGATAAGTTGGGTTTGGGGGGTATGTTATGTTACGGTTATATGAAAATTCAACTGGAAGAATATTGGCCAAATTCTATCCTAGCATGATCATACCACAAGAGGAGGCTCAGGTGTATCTTAATTGGATGAGGGGACCTTAGCTCAGGTTACGGTGGTTAGTAGGGTATGAGGGAATATAATCCCCACATAATGGATTCCCTTATTCCTTACGAAGTCCCAGTAAGTCAGGAGTCTGAAGCAAGGAGCTTATCAGGGTCCACTTTAGGTTTTCCTCGTGGGGATTGCGGTGCCAATTTCAAGAAACTGTCCTCCCAGGCAGGCATTACGCGCGAAGGAGAGATTGTTTGAAGGGATACTAGAGCAGCTTATGGGTCCACGAAAATTTGGCTGCTCTAGACCCGATACTTACTGGGTGTTAGCAGTTCATGAAGGAATATATTATATAGGAATCATATTCCCTGCTAACCACCAATAAGGCTGGAGTAAATTGATTCCTGAACCGCAAACCTGGGGTAGCTTGCTTTCTGGAATCACGGCGTCCAAGAATGGGCCAACTTTCGCCACACACCGTGCTATCAAAGCTTGTCACTATACAGTAAGTGCTGGCCAAAGGCTCCTATTCCAGATCATATGATCTTTTGTTCACAGTAGAACATTGACGCCGGGCCAGAAAAATCCGCGCGACTGCATTTTCTTTCCAAAGTTTCCGCAGTCCGAAAAGCTATGCACAAGTTCCAGCGGCCATACCAATGATGAATCTCCGAACCGCAAAAAATCCCAATTCAATTCGTTTCTATCACTTGTACAACCACCCGCACTACGTAGTCCCAAAGTTGAGGGGGATATTCTTTATTGTCAGGTTGGCATGGCACTCCTGCAGGATTCCTGGTACCTGGTAGGAGTGGTATAATGTAGGTGGACCCCCTCCCACCAAGTAATAGTGACTGGAAGGGATGATAAGGATGATACGAGGGCCCTCTTCTATTCCTAGTATATCATTATTACAGGTTGGGGTCCACGTAAGGTATGATTACCAAAGGTTTATGGGATCACTCACCTTAGCAAAGGAGTAAGCCTGGGTAATCTCTGGGTGTGCAGGAAGATCCCCGAACTCGGGTACCTACCTAAATTGGGGGTTTTCCAACAAACAGGGATCCTACCTTTCTATAGCGGAAGGAATGCAGAAGTTCTGACGTTATTTGGTAGTTTCCCAAAATGAAGGAACCCCAATATAGACCCCAAAATACTATGATCCTCTTTATTGGGACCCGTAAGAAGGTACCCCTAATTTTGGGAAAATCCTATTTATGGGGAACCCATGTGTCTGGAAATCCCAGATCTGCAAGGACGATGCCGACCCGCCATTGCTGTTGCAGGATTGAAATTTTTTGGATAGCGCACAGCAGAGGCACAGTTTGAATGCAGCGAGCTTCATGAACAAGGGTAGTGCAAGAGATTGGAGTGCAACGAGGCTTATACAGTATGATGTCCCGCCACCCCATGGCTTGCTTCAAGTCCTTCCCATTGATGGTTATACATAGTGAAATTAGGGTATATATTGGGGTTATATTGGGATAGTGGAAAAGAAAATGGAAACTACGATATGGTAAAGCACCAGGAGCCAATGGAGGTTGACGTGGAGGGCGAGGTGGAGACTGATTGGGCGCTCGAGCTTCGAAGCGCGCGACACTCAGTCCACATGGTCGGGGGATCCTGGATCACTGCGGCTTCAAAGGGAGTGCTAGAGGTTGCACATGGTTCTGCTGAGTAGTAGTTGAGTGTTGGGTGGGATTCCTTGCAGCATGGGGGGTGGTGAATGTTTCAGATCACCTCTTCAACTGGCGCGCATTATGTTTCAAATGTGCTTTGCAGGCGCTGCACTCCGGGGGAAGTCTTTGGCATTTGGACAAGGGCCTTCTCCGCTTCATCCTGTCCAACTTGCTTCAGAAGGTGGGCAGCAAAGGTGCTTTGAGCTTCGAAGCGGACACGCGGACTGCACAGGACGACAATGTTTGCGACCTGGGGGCCTTCGGGGGCCACTACTCCAAGTGGCTCAATGTCAGGCCCTCAGATGATTTGCAAAAGATGGCCCCGAACGGCAAGCCCACAGTTGTACTGTGAAACTTTTAGGATACTGGCCTTGTCCGCGCCTTTGCCTTCGATTCGATCCCTGGCGTGGAGGCAACATCCTCATCAAGTGCTGCAATCCTGTCATCACATGCATCTCAGACATCATGCAGGAGATCACAGACGGTGCCGTGCGGTATGCTCGTAGCGAGCTTGGACACTTCCACATTGTGATCTGTGTGCAGTTTGAGAGGCAATAGCGCTATCCTCAAGAATTGCACACTGCTGCCCCAGCCAGAGTCAGCCTCACATTGCCGAATCGCATCAAAGTAAGGGGGAATATTGGGGAAATATTAGGGTAATATTGGGGTAATGGGTAATATTAGGGTAATGTTGGGGGAATGGGTAATATTAGGGCAATGTTGGGGTAATTTTAAGGGTAAGGTCTTTGTAGTCCAATGTACCATGTACAAGGTTTCATCCAACAAAATGACCAAAAAGGAGCCGGCAATCGAGTCGCCCTAACCAAAGACAGGGTTGCTGTTAAGGAGCTTGAATTAAGTTACCATAATGGGTATATATATATAGAGTAATTATTATGGTGTCCCCAATATAGTGACTTGAATGAAGTTCCTTATATTCCCCCAGTTTCCATTTCAGGTTCCATTGTCCATTTTCTTTCATTCTCCGTTATAGGGGGATAATACCGCTAAACCATTAACCTTAAACTCTAATCCCATTATGGTAGCCAAAAGTAACCCTAAGGGTCCAAGTACCCAATAATCATATACCTGCCCAAACCCATATTAAACTTATTTCTTACCCAAAACCCAAGTACCTAATTATTGGGTACACTGACCCTCAAAACCCTAAACCCTAAACCTGGTAGCTTGAATTACCCTACACCCTATCCCCTATATACCCCTACCTACCCCAATATACCCCTACATCTCCCCTTTAAAAGGGTAAGTTCCTTAACAACAACTCAGACAACCAAGGCCTTGATGATAGCAACTTGCAGCTTGCCATCGCTGGCTGCGACGTTGTGCTGTGTCTTGAGGCCATCCATCACCTAGACCCCCCTTAAGTAGATAGAGTATTGGGTAGATTTCATTGGGGTTGAATAGGGATAATGGAAAAGAAAATGGAAACTACTAGATTATAATAGGGTATATATTGGGGTTGTAGTCCCCCTTAAGTAGATAGAATCTTGGGTATATAGGGATCTTTTTTTTCTACCCACAGCCATATTCTATCTACTTAAGCAGGACCATAGACCCCTTAAAGGAGCAAAAAAATGGAACCACCTCATAAACCCCTTGGGCTTAGGGCTTAGGGCCTAGGACCCAAAAAATGGAGGAAGACGAGGAGGAGGAATCACAGCAAGGGTAGTAAGCGCTGACGGTCGTCACAGCATTCGCAACAAACCTGTGGAGTCAAGGCAGCTTTGCCAAGTTATACGGTCAACAGTGCATCTTTCTTAGGTGATGGAAAATTTGGAAGTTAGGGGCAGGCCATGTTGTCCTACTGCGGATTCTGACCACCTTCTATATCCTCTACCCTATTTGAGCTAGAGTCTAAACTCCTTGAAGGGGGGTGATATAGGGGTTTATATGGGGGAGTAGAATAGTGATATAGGGGCTTATATGGGGGAGTAGAATAGGGGTTACTCAGGTGGATACTTGGAATTTGGACTATACCCGGCTTGAGGAGTTGCAGTATATGGGGGATATTGGGGATCCTCGGAGGTGCAAAATTTCCTCCAGCCACCGTAGCATGCAATGCCTGTGATTTTGCCGGGCGGATCAACGGGTTCCTCATGGCTTTAAGAACTTAAGGGGTTTCAGGGTGTGGGGTTTAGGGGTGAAGAGTTAGAATTCCGTGCAAGTGTCAACAGACAGCAAGTTTCGGACATTCTGTATGGGAGCTTCTCAGAGGAAACCCTACAGAACACGGAGTTTTGAAGCCTGGGCCCCCCAAGCCCTAAGCCCTTTATTTATAACCTTTGCATGACCCCAGCTTCCTTGGGGCACCCAATGATTTAGGGTTTAATGGTTTACCCCCCACCCCACTCCCAGAACATCCGCTAATTTCTCCGACGTTGGACTGGCTGGTAAAAGTCCCAGTAGCACCGCTAAACTGGGTTGCTGTTAAGGAACCTAAATTAAGTTACCATAATGGGTATATATAGTAAATAATAAGGTTTCCCCAATACAGTGCCTTAATTTAAGTTCCTTAACAGCACCCCTAAAGGATGTTTCCAAAGATTGACGGTCCCTTTTGGGCGACGAGACATTCAGAACTTTAACATATTTGGGTGAAACCTCATAAAGACTATTGAATCTCTTATTCCTATATATATATATATATTCCCTCGTCAACGAATGCATACCCATATAGTATAGATACTCCTTGTACAATCCGCTTGATAATCCGTATTCTAACCCTGAGAGCCGGTCATGGAGTTCCCCTATGAACAAAGCTCTGTAACCTAAATAATCCCCCTCCCCTAAACCCTTATCCCTAAACCCTAAACCCTGAATCCCTAAGCCCTTAAACCTTAATCCCCAGGGCCATCCTGTATGCAGGTCATGGAGCACATCCCTTCTGTCAGGGAGCAGCAGGCTTTGGAGAACCTGGGCCAGGTCCCTGGACCTTAGGCCTATTTGGGGTTTAGGGTTTAGGGTTTAGGATTTAGGGTTAGGGTTTAGGATTTAGGGTTTAGGGTCTAGGGTTTAGGGTTTAGGTAGGTTAATAAGGCCTATAGGCCATATAGCAACGCCAGTGATCCCCCTTATGAACCCACTTGCTAAGTCCCCCCAACCCTGCAAGTAGCTTTAGGGTTGCAAGCTAAAGGTTCAGGGTTTAAACCCTAAACTGTGTAGGCCTGGGTTTAGGGTTTAGGGTGGGGCTTAGTTAGGAACATAGGTAGTTGGAAAAGCAGAATCACATCAGAAAGAACATAGAGACTGAAATGGAAATAGCAATTATGAAAGAGCTATTTACTATAGGTGTTATGTAAGGTAGACGACTGAGCATGCCAAGAGTATTCCCTCATTATCTCTGCATATGACAATATAATATGTCCCAAAACCCTGTTCTAATCCGATCTAGCCCCCAACACTACGCCTTTAGGGTTTAGGGTTTGAAGTTTAGAAAATGTAGGGTCGTATAGGGACGGCATCCCCCTGATAACTCCCCCATCTTCATTTTTTACATTTCTGTATGCAGTAACCGATGAAATTGGGAAGCTGCATTGTCAGGAGTGCCTCCTACGGATGCCTTTAACCCCAGAATACGGAGTATGTTAAGCTATGAGCCGCAAGTCTGGGTATTTGTGCAGTCGGCAGTCCTGGGCTTGGTCTGCAAGCGTTTGGGTTTCTTGAGGGTTTAGGGTTTAGGGTTTAGGGTTTGACGATCATCTGCAAACATCGAGAATACAGATACATCGAAAGCCCACTACAGCTTTGATTTTCCCATGTGAGATATTTGCCTGACCAAGGAAACTTTAATGGTGGAGACAGGGGTCCTCTTGGTTCATCGTATAGTCCTCACATCAATAGTCCCTGGTAAGGAACCCATGTCAATTAGGTTATGCAGGGAATAGAATAGGCCGCAATTCATTTAGGTCCTGCATTTCCCATGACCCCTGATCCCCTGAAGCCCTAAACCCTAAATCCCCTAAATCTCTGTACCCCTGAACCCTCAACCCCTGAAACCCTGAACCCTAAGCTGTGTGCTTCTAGCCTAGGCCTAAACACAAAACGGGCCCTGGTGCTTTCTTGGGCGCCGCCCTGGGTACCCGGGCCGCCGCCCTAATACGTCTCTTGGGGAACATGGCTAGGGGTTCATATGAGCTATAGTCTGAACTCCTTAAAGAGGGATTTTTCAGGGGCTTGAACAGGGTATTATCATGTGGATTATTAAGGGGATACCAGGAATTTAGACTATGGCTCATATGAGCTACTGCTACTATTAGGGTGACCAAGGGACCGTACAGAGTGAACATAGCAGTTTCTAAGATATTCCCTAACAGGCTAACAGGGATCCAAACCCACTAATTCTAGGGGAAATATTGACAATAAACTTAAAGGGGAATCTCCAAGCGTTGAGGCCGAGGAGTAGTTCGGATACCTAGATCCAAACCGCGCCGAACGATCGCTCGGACCAGAAGAGCGATGCATTCAAATTCCTACCACATACGAGCTAATGATCTCAAGTGATCCCTAAACCCTAAATAAACCCTTTTTGGTTTGGGCTGGTGGGAGGGTTGTGTCAAAGGTCCGTAATAGAAAGCTCTTCCGAAGACTCGGAAGCTGAGCGACAGGAGTGAATTGATTTCATCGTTGAGGAGGGGTATTCACAGGTATTCTGAATAACCAGCATGCGGTTCAAGGAGTCTTCCTTACATCTAGGATGCAGGAAGGGTTGAACACTGTGCCTCCAAAATGATTCCCAAGATTCCCCGAGTACTGGCCTCACATTTCTTGCCGGTGTCTTTGCAAGAACCTGCAAGGGTTCCTCAAAGCCAGAGCACTCCTCGTCAAGACGCGATTAGCAAGTCATGTTGATAAAGCTTTGCAGTCCCCATACAACCTCTTACTTCTATATAACTATATGTAGTATTTTCTGTCCAGAGTTATTCCGAACCCCTGCTCATTTAGGCCCCTAAGATCCTGGACTCCTGGGCCATCTCTTTCCAGGCCAGGGCACGTCAATCAGCGCATGCCATCAGAGGCGCTGTCCTCATCCTCATCCATTCTGGCATTTGTCTAAATACAGGGCCTTTGGGACCAAATAATGGGGACAACCACCGGCCCGCAGTTGATTTCGAATGTTTTATTGAAATCCAATGATACATATATATATATATCTGTATGTAATCAGGTTTTTCAATGCAATAAGGAACAAGTTTCAGCATTCATCAAAATAGACCTAAACCCCAACCTGGGATTTCTCAAGAGCGCAGACTGTAGCATGCTGAGGACCCTGGTTGAGATGTCCTTTCTTAATATGATCCATAGTCTCAACTCCTTAAAGGGGTGTTATATAGGGGATTATATTGGGGACTAATTTATATTAAGGGGAAATACTAGGAGTGTAGACTATAGTTCATACATTCCATCTGCGTGTTTGTCACAATGTTGAGTCCTTTCGAAGGGTTAGAGAGATTCTCTCAAATGGGTCGACCAGGTGACCCTGAT